AGAGTCTAGATTCAAATATTTTCTGGGTGAGCATGCTCTGGACCCACTAGAAAACTTGTGCATATACGGCGCTCGACTTGTGGCTCTGGCAATTTTACTAGGGGGGCCTTCGAAAAGTTTGAACCGGGGGCCCCTTGATATAATGTTACGCCACTGAGCAAGATAACCTATCAAAGTTGTCCACTCTCTTTCACAAGTAAAATATTTGACCTGGTGTTAGACAACGTAAAATAAAAAAGTACTGAAAGTTGAGCATATTCATCCTAACGAGTTAGTGTGAAATGTAAGTAAAGAGTCTCGTTAACTTGAATATACCATCACATAGTTAAATGTTAATTTCATAAAAAATATGGAGAATTTTCCTGGCATTACACTAAGGCTAACATATTTTAATTCATATTGACTGATGCAATTACACCTCTCCCAATGAAATATCAATTTTAATTTGATATCAGAATCTTAGGAAGGTTGCTGCTGATTTGAGCAAGTAGATAAATTTTCAAACTATATGTAATATGAGCATATAGTACTATATAGTCTATATGTATAGGCATGCTTAATGTCTGCAATTAATCTTGCATATACAGTTAGCATATACAAATATATTAACCAATAAACATTGAAAAGTCTAATTCAAATATAAAACTCTTATAGTAGCATTTATTGAAGTATAAAAGACAGATAAATATATTTATATCAGCGTTCTAATCCATTATTGTCGCGGCAAATTCAAATTTTAAACCGATCGAAACACATGCTCGAATTTCACGAATGAATATTGGACTAGGTATTCCTTTATAATTTGCTTTATTATAAACAAAATATAAACATATGCTCACCTGAACATTATACAAACATCGCTGATGTATTACTAGTGAAAATCCAGTTGAATCCTATCAAAAATAGTTCTATTTTGAACATATAAAGCATTCACAAACAAAAAAATTATAAAATATCGGAGGTGTGATGACCTATCCCAAGATGCTTTGTGCGTGTGGCAAAAAACTAGACACCAGTTTGTTGGTCGCGCACATTGCGGTAATTATTCATTTAATTAATGTTAGAATAAATTTATTTTCCAATCCTATAGGAATTCCTATAGGAATTTTTATTTCCTATATGTATATTAGTATATATATAGGAATTTCGTTTTCCTAAAGGAATTTTTTCACCATTTTCAAATCTTATATGAATTCTTATAGGAATTTTCAAATCCTATAGGAATTTCATTTCTTATAGGAATTCCTATAGGAAATTTCCGTAAGTGTTGGCATAGCATTGCCATAGAAATCATATGCATATGTATGGATTATCTACTGATTGGAGGCCAGAACCACACCAAGTTCAGACTCCATATAATTCCCATAGATATGGGAAGTATATGGCACAACCAAGTGTGGACTACCATATAATTCCCATATATGGAAATTATATGGGACAACCAAGTGTGTACTACCATATAATTCCCATAGGTATGGGAAGTATATGGGACAACCAAGTGTGGACTACCATATAATTCCCATAGAATTGGTTATATGTAAAAGCATGCCATTGATATGGATTACCTATGGACCAAGTAACCCCACAGATTTCCCATAGGATTAATAGCAATGTGTTTGTTTCCATAGCTTTTCCATATCTCAATATTTAACAAATTTAGACACCATACCAATCCCACATGATATCTATATTGTCCCATATCATGCCCACATATGGGTCATATATGGCCCAAACTTTGCCATATCTTTCCCATACTTTTGCTTTGGTAAGGGTAGAAAAGAAATTTGAGTCAAAGCCTTGGATTACTCATGGCTTAAAAGTGTCTATCCAATTAAAAAATAAATTGTATAGGAAGTGGATAAAAACAAAATCTACTTATTACCATGCTAAATTTAAATTATATAGAAATAAAATAAATCATCTCCTAAAAATTAGTAAGAAAAAATATTATAATGAATATTTTATTAAAAATAGTAAGGACAGCAAAAAAGTATGGAAGGGCATTAAAGAAATTGTGAAATCAAAGCCTCAACAATTCAAATGTACAAAAATTATGAATGGAAATCAGGAAATAAGTGACCCCAAACTTATTGCAAATATTTTTAATAATTATTTCTCAAATGTTGGTAAGAATTTTGCAGATTCAATACCAACTGTTCAAAACACTCCAACTGAATACCTAGGAATACCTATTAGAAACAGTTTCTTTGTTTCTCCGACTACTAGAGGGGAAATTGAACAAGAAATTAGTAAGTTTAAATCAAGTAAAGCTGTTGGTCCCTTTAGTATACCAATTTTTGTCCTCAAAATGGTTAAATCAGTCATATCTGAACCTCTAGAATATTTAATTAATATGTCATTCTCTAATGGAATTGTTCCAAATGACTTTAAAATTGCGAATGTCATACCAATTTACAAAAAAGGTTCTCTTAGTTGCACATGCAACTATAGACCTATCTCCCTCCTTTCTATTTTTGACAAATTATTAGAAAAGTTAATGTATAAGAGACTATTAAATTTTTTGAACAAAAATAGAGTCTTATTTGAAAGGCAATTTGGTTTTCGCACCATGTATTCAACTGAGTATGCAATTTTATCAATTGTAGATAAAGTACAAAAAGCAATTGACAATCGTAATTATGCATGTGGAATATTTTTGGATTTCAATAAGGCTTTTGATACTGTTAATCATGAAATTTTAATTCAGAAATTATCTTGCTATGGGGTAAGGGGCGTTGCTTGCAAGTGGTTTATCTCATACTTACGTAACAGAAAGCAATTTGTAACTATAAATAATGAAACATCAAACAACTGCCCAATCAGCTGTGGTGTTCCACAGGGTTCAGTTTTAGGACCTTTACTTTTTCTACTATATATAAATGACTTTCAAAATTGTTCTAAATTATTTGAATTTACGCTATTTGCTGATGATGGTAATTTGTTTTTTGAGGATAATAACTTATCCTCTATGGAAGCAAATATAAATTCTGAATTGGTTAATATTGACAATTGGTTGTGTGCAAATAAATTGTCTCTTAACATTGAAAAATCTAATTATGTAATATTTCATGCTAGACAGAGAACTGTTAGAGATAACTTCAACTTGTCAATGATGAACCAACCTCTTAAGCGAGATACTTCAATCAAGTATTTGGGTATTCTTATTGATTCTAATCTCAGTTGGAAAAGTGAAGTAGAAAGTATTGCTAAAAAAATAAGAAGGAGTGTTGGTATAATTTCAAAACTTCGTCACTATGTTAATAAAAAAATACTATTAAATCTTTACTATTCACTGATTTATCCTTTTCTAATTTATGGTTTACTAGCGTGGGGAAATACTTATAAAACAACATTGAACCCCATCCATATTCTTCAAAAGAAAGTTATTCGAATTATAACTTTTTCTAAATTTGATGAGCATACAAGTCCACTGTTTAAGGAACTAAAAATCCTTAAATTTCCCGATCTTGTAACATTCCATAGTTCAATTTTTATGTATAAATTTCATAATAATATACTACCGTCAATTTTTGAGTCATTTTTCACAAGGGTTGATCAAGTTCATAATTATAGAACTAGATCTTCCACGAGTGAATCTTATTATATTCCAAAAGTTCGAACCAATTATGGATTATTTAATATTAGATATCAAGGTCCAACTATATGGAATTCTATACCTAAAGAAATTAGGTATGCTTCCCTTTCCAAATTCAAAAATCAATTTAAAAATGATTATTTTCAGACATACTAACCAGAATGATACTAAGGAGTCTGCTACCAGTTGCAAATGCATCTAAGAATGATTGTGTGCCTTTGTTGCCATTTTTACCGACTCACTTATCATAATTTTATCACGGTATTAAAAAGTAAACTGGCATCCTGGTATTTTTAGCTATCCCAGGTTATTTCAGGATTGCCAGGACCCTATAATGAATTGTAAAATGTTTATTTATTTAATGTCTTTTATTGTTGTAAAAATGGGTCAATAAAGTTTTTGTCTTGTCTTGTCTTGTCTTGTCAACCGATAATAATATGAAACTGAATGTCAAAAAGACAAAGGAGTTCACCTTGTCTTTTTTTGAAGACCAAGCCCTCGCTTAAACCACTGATCATTACTAACCAACCCATTGAGATGGTGCATACCGCAAAGTTCTGGGTGTTCAATTATCTTCAAAATCTGAAATGGAATGCACATATCGATTATGTGTGTTCCAAGGCAAGTAAGCGTTTGTTTGCCTTGAGAATGTTGAAACATAATGGTGTCCATCCATGGGATCTCCGTTCAGTGTATTGTTACTTCATCCGACCTGTTTCGGAGTACGCTTGCCTGGTATGGCACTCTTCCTTGCCGTCATTCCTAAGTGATCAAGTTGAACATATCCAACGACGTGCAACCAAAGTTATCTGCCCTTCCTTGTCGTACAGCCAAAGTCTAACAGAACTCGAACTACCTACACTTTTTGACAGAAGAGAGTCGTTATGCAAGTCCTTTTATAGGAACAATTTAAACACTACAAGTAAACTATTTGACCTTTTACCGAAGTCAGTGCACTACCAATACAATCTTAGGAACACACAAAATTCCACAAATCCCATACCAAACGTTTTAGCAATAGCTTCTTGCCATACTGTGTGAAGAAGTGAGACGCCTGCATTTAGGACGAATAGTTAAATTTTGCTCATGTTTTAAATTTTTAGCTGTATTTTATTGGAACCCTTATCGAAAGTTTTTTAGAAATTGTTGTATCTTGAGTTTTTCAATTTTATTGTAAAATTGCCATTCAAGAATGTTAATAATAATAATCTAGTCTAATATATAGTTAATCCCAAACAGCAGTGCAATTATTTTTCTGTAATCACATCTTTCCTTCAACAGAAAATCGCATGGGATCTCATTACGGCTATCGATTATCTTCATGATAGAAACATTGTGCATAGGGACATCAAACCAAGAAGTGTATTAGTCTCCAACACCCACTACTGTCACTTGACAAATCCCCATGAAATTGAACCAGCATGGTTACAGGAAACCATTGTATGCAGCCGATCTGTATTACATCAAACTGCAACTATTCACCACACGTGAACAACAAACCTGGAAAGAGCAACACTTGTTTTACAACACACCTGGGGCTGTGGTTGGCATAAAAAAACCTGTTTCTTATTCCCTTGAGGAATTAAAATATGGTGACATTTGGTCCTTGGGGATGCTTTTGTTCAAATTGTTGAATCCTGACCAGAAATTTCCATATTTCCAAGAAATGGAGGATCATGACGTAGAGAGTGCTTCAGAAGCAAAAGATGTGATTGGAAAGCTCATGGACAAGAAAAAGAAACCAGCACATTCTACCAAATATGATTCCCTTTGTGTTGCTAGGAAACAACAAGAAACTACAAGTTCGATACTGTTAGGAAACAACAAGAAAGTTGTTAGTATTGGGTTTGTTTTCATGACATATGCATCTGGGACAATAAAGACATATTTGTTGACATGCATGTCGATTTTATAACTCTTTAGAATAGTGGTTTGAAACTGCCTGTACATGGAAATCAAGCAGTCAGAAATACATTAAAACAATAAATCTAACTTCCTTGGTTACAGAACTCTGTCTGAAGGGGTAAATTGTGTAATGTTCTGTTACACATTACTTTGTTTACTTCATCTTCAAACCGTGGTGCCATTTCATTTGTCAAGAATTACTGATTCCGGTTTTTACAGATTCCGGCTTTTACACTTCCATGTTCTAGAGATTCTGCCTTTTACAATTCCATGTTTTAAAGATTCCGCCTTTTACAATTCCATGTTTTACAGATTCGGGCTTTCACAATTACATGTTTTACGGATTCCGGGTTTTACAGATTCTGGCTTTTACAATTCCGGGTTTTACAGATTCCGGCTTTTACAATTCCATGTTTTACAGATTCCGGCCTTTACAATTCCATGTTTTACAGATTTTGGCTTTTACAATTCCATGTTTTACAGATTCCGGCTTTTACAATTCCATGTTTTACAGATTCTGGCTTTTACAATTCCGGGTCATTCCATTCCGAGATTCCCCGTTCTGTGTTTTACAGGTAGCCGATTTAGAACTGTTATTGAACAAATTGTTCCTACATCTTGCTTTGGCAAATGGTATAACATCTAATCCAGCCATGTTGTGCTCATTATCCATTCAAGCAATTAAACTATTGAACTAGAATAACAAGAGGAACCTGCACCGAAACCTGCAGCAGACTTGTAGCAATGCTGTTCCAACAACTTGTCAACAGGATGTGTTTGCACTGCTTGTTCCCCCAGGTTGTTGACAAGTTGTCAACTGTTTGTTTACAACTTGCTACAAATTGTTCCAACAACTTCTTATCGTCCTGCAATTCAACAATTTGTCAACAAGTTGTGAGTGACAACCTTGTAGCAACTTCATAAAATATCAGCATTGTTACAACTTATTGGCAAGCTTGCCACAAGCCTGTTGCGAACACATCTTGTTGACAAGTTGTGAGATTTTTATGTGAGTACTAAGGAATTCAGCATCCACATTGCACCATGTGGGTTGTTCTTCTTAGGGTTATACAAGAAGTTAGAATAATCTGTACTTCGCCATACGACTCTAAGGAAGTACGGTATATACAAATTATTATGTCTCAAAGTGTCATATGTGGCATTACAGTAAAAGCAGCATACTTCATACTTTACCTTAGGCTCTCATTGTATGCATATTGGTGACATGAAAATGTTGCAACATTCCTTAAGTATTTACTTTGTTATGGGAACCACTGAGTATTGTAATAAAATATAAAATAATGTTGAGTCCAAAAATAAACATTTTAATCATTCTAGCTTTCAACTAAGATATATATATATATATATATATATAATAATAGATCACTACCAATCCATGTCCATGTGGATCCATTGATGAAAATAGATATAACAGTGATTTTGGAATATCCTACTTACTTAGTGTAATTTAATACTTGAAGTATTCTTGCCAAAAAGGGCACGTACGCACACAGTAATTTAATCTGGTGTCGTTTGAAACATACTTTAGCTAAAATAACAACTTGAACAAGAAGATCAACAATGGGGTTACGAAAACAGTCGACATTGTCCCAAAGTTGCATAAACCGTTCGTCTAAAAAGATAACTTTAAACTAGATTCAACCAACTTTAATGCGGTCGAATTTTGTGAGTGTTTGATCGCATATTTCTACTCAAAAATACCCTTAAAAATATCGTATGTGTATGGTGGCCGAGAACTGCCAATAGTTTTTTCCCATTTTTTTTGCAAAAAATGTTTATAAATTAATATTTTTACAAAAATTTTTTTAAAAAAAACTACTTTAAATTTAAATTAAAACAAAAATGAAATGAAAGTAAAACAAAAATGAAATGAAAGTTAAACGAAAACAAAATATAAATTTAAAGTAAAACAAAAATAAAGTAAAATATAAATCAGTTTTTTTATCGGCCGAGCGCTGCCAATATAAAAAATTTAAAAAAAACTACTTGTTAAACAAAAATTAAATGAAAGTTAAGCCAAAGCAAAAATATAAATTTAAAGTAAAGCAAAATTAAAGTAAAATAAAAATCAGTTTTTTTATCGGCCGAGCGCTGCCACTATACCATGATTCCTTGCAACTTGGAAGGGTTTAGGCCCTGGGTACGAGACTAAGAATTACAAAAGCACAACATGGCGGACAACAACAGATGTGCGAAGTGGACCGAAGATGAAATTCTGAAATTGTGCATGGAGAAATACGTCAAGCAAAGTTTGCAGCGATCTGAGATACTGGATTTCATGATGCGCGACTTCCCTCAGTACGCATGGAGCCTTCGTAGCCTAGACAGGCATTTAAGATTCTTCGATATACACTACAACGATGACAATGTTAGTGTCGAAGACGTCATGGGCGCTGTAGGGAAAGAACTGAAAGGACCTGCCAAGCTGCTGGGTTACCGGGCAATGCATAGAAAGATCCGTCAAGAGCATGATCTGAATGTCACACAAGACCAGGTATACAATGTCATGCATGCTTTAGATCCTCAAGGACTAGACAATCGTCGGGGTATTGGTGCAAAGAAAGCCAGAAGAAAAGGCAATTTTACGACAAAGGGCTCTAACTGGGTTCACTGTTTACTGTGATACAAATGGCCAATGAACATGCTGGTGGTTAAAGAGTCCTAGTCACTACAATGCAATGTGTGTGTTTGTTTACGTTTCTGTTACGTTGTGGGCCAGAGGCAGCCATTTTGTGTGGCCTCGAAAATGGTGGCAACAATTGAGAAAACTAATGGAAAAACATAAACAAGCGTGCATTGCATTGTGGTTGACAAGGACTCTTTAATTGTAGTAAAATATGGAATGACATTTGAAAATGGAGAGTGTAATCATGATGATTTTATTTCGATATACTTTTTATATTATATATGCATAACACTGAATATATTGAAATTTAGATTGAAAGGTGGTGGAAGGAGCTACATGAGCGGATGGAAAAATATTTCAAGGAACAGTTAAGGTGGTTGAAAGATAGAGGGCATTATGACCCAGGCAATGAGACAGACAGGTAAATAAACCACTATACATGTAATAGATACAGTATATCCTGTGGTTACAGGTTCGTCACTGGCATTTCTTGTTCTCTAGTATATTATAGGTAACAAAAATAAAACAAAACTTTTGGCCATTATTTACCCATTGAGCGCTAGCGCTCTCCCCTTGACGAGTAAAATCGTCTGGCGTTAGACAGAGTAAAATAATATGGCGTTAGACAGAGTAAAATAATATGGCGTTAGACAGAGTAAAATAATATGGCGTTAGACAGAGTAAAATAATAAAGTAGGGCGCAATGTGACTCAATGGGTTAATGGTAAGGTATAACCAGAAAATACGTTTCCGGTAACCCGACCGACCTGCATTTTTTCTATTTTTGGGATACTAATTAACTGGCCTATCTGCCCATGTGTCTATTTAATTAAAGTATAAAATTTATGTCAGAACTAGACGCATAGTTTTTTATTTGCATGTATGTGTCTGGTTCAACAAAGAACGTGGGTCAAAAGCACTGTAATATTCAAAATTATGAAACCGGCACACAATGCAAAATTATTCAACACTGTATAAACCAGATCAGTCATTGATTTTGTAATATCTGTTATAAGATGTTTTGTAGCACAGATATAATTCCTATTTATGCTCTTTGCTTCCCCAGAATGCTTCTTGCATTTTATATGGTGCCATTGGTACAGAAGGAGCTTGACACCTTTAGAGAAAGTGTTTGGAATTCACATAGAATTAGAGCGCAGAAAGAAACGGCCCTACCTGATGGAATTCCCAATCACATTTTCAATTTTCCAGAGCAATATGGTCTTCAGGAATGTGGTATGTTTTTGTATTAGTCTAGTTACTTTATATCACTTATTTTGTATACCTGGCGAATTGCCAGACTGGAAAGTTTGTATTGCGCAACCAAGATCTCGGGTGCGCAATTTCGGACAAAATGCGCGTCTGGACGCGCAGATTTTGGAAATGCTCCGAAGAAACGCGCACTTTCGAAATCAGCCGCGCTTCCCGCGCTTCTGAAAAGTTATTGCGCAATATTGCAAGCTCAAACGCGCACTTGGAATACGAGGAAAGCGAGAACGCGCGCGCCTCGCGTAAAAACGCGAGCGTAAGAAAATGTGCACTGGGAAGTGAGAGAAGCACGCGCGAATGAGAAACTTTACACGCGAATATCTATGCGTGAAATGGAAGTTCAGATGTGCATCGTGCGACACAAGACAGCTTGGCAGCGATGCAAACAATGAAAACATCTTTAATTATTAACTTCCGATTCGACTTACTTAGCTATAAACAGACACATACGTTTGTGGTTGAGAAATTTGATCTAGTGACAGGTTTTCAAAGCAACTATCGTTTACTCGACACTTGTTTGACGTTTCGTTCTGCACTTCTGTGGAATATTTTTGCTGTGAAAGATTTTCAAGGGAGTTTTCAAAGTTCAATTGTGCGAAGTAAGTATATATTATGTGTTTATCAGTGTATGCAAATGTAGTATAAATTGTTCTATTCGCATTTATGGAAATTGGTGTGGTGAATTCAAGTTATTCAACCATAAAATCACTTTAAAGCAGCCTCGTGCGTCTGGCGTGCCGCCACGACGGTCGGTTGTTTAATTAAACTTTAAGGCACTTTTAATCTGAAATTTCAAGGCTACATGAAGTCCTTTTTCCCTTTAATACCCTTCTATCACTGGGGTATTTCGACGGAGAGACTGGCAATGTAAACGCTGTGAAATGTATCACAACAAAATTTTAATTTGCGAGCCAAGTCAGGCAGTCGGCCAACCGCCACCGGCGCATGTTGCGGCCATAGCCAACCGCCACCGGCGCATGTTGCGGCCATAGCCCATAGGTTGGCAGGTTGCGGCGTCACATTTACAGTTTAGTAGTTTAAATGTTTGATACTATTTAACAATATACCTTATATATGTAATATGTTATCAAATTATCAAACCGGCGGATGCCTACGGCCTATGATTATTGATTATAAAAACAGTCAAAAGAGTTAAAAGTGAAAAGTCTAAATGAGTAATGACAACTAAACAGAATTCTATTCAGCTGAACACCAGAAGTCTAGAACTGTGAGAACACTGAACACTGCTTGTCTCACTGAACACTGCTTGTTGTCTGCTTACACAGTTACACTATTAAATCAAAATAACAATAACATTCTGACATTCACACATTACTTAAAATTACAATTTTGTATGTTTTTCATTTTCCAATGTGCCAAAAGGCAAAGTCCAAACTGGCTAACTGAGTATACTAAACTCTTCCTTGCACATTCCACAGTTCCTTTATTTCCTTGTTTTGTGGTGAAAAAATAATGGCAGGCGTGTCGGACGATATTGAAATAATTGTTGAAGCAGGTAAGCCATAACCAATAAGCCCAGAGGCTTAAGACAAAAATCAAAGGGTATATAGGCTATATATATGTGTATAACTTAGTTAGTGAAGGTCGTAATCGTAAAAGGTCTGGGTCAGCCATCAGGGACTCTCGGCTCCGACTCTGGACTAAGGCTCAGACGCTCAGTGGCAGGCTCACAGAGGGCAGATGGGCAGAGGGGTTAGGTGAGTTATGTTGTTATGAGTGTTCCTCCAATCCTCCGTTTCTGCTCCGCCAGCTCCAGGTGCTTCATTTTTCATGTTCTATTTTTCTATGTCCAATTCTATTGTATTTGCATAGATATAATAATAATAACACCAAAAATAATTTATTAACAGGTAGTTAAGTAGTTCTTTGTGATTAATGGTTGATTATTACGTGGTTATTAGTACTTACTAGGATATGCAATCAAAACACCTTGTCACACTTAGTGCTCTAAGATTAGTTATCTAAGATTAGTTAAGATTAGTGATCTAGGAATCTAGGATTAATTAATTATTAATTAATTTGCTTTTCCTGTTGCATAGTGTGTGTTTCATGCAAGAAGGAATATTGTGGGAGTCATTCTTGCAAAGTTTGCAAGAAAGCCTGCCATGCTATTCCACCTTGTGCAAAATTGAATGAGGATGATGAAGAAGGTTTTGGTGCAGCAGTGCTCTGTGCTAGTTGTGCAGCAACTAAAGGAGAGGCTCCACCAAAGAGAAAGATATCAGAGAAAGGTAAAGAGATTATAATATCAGTATCACAGTACTATGGGTAGCTATAAAGTCATCGACTCATCATGATCTTCTATATTAATCAGGAAACTTTTTTACTATATTTACTCTAGAAACCAATTGGTATGAAAAACTTGGAAAACAGTCAGGGAAGTTGGCGGCACCAGTGGCCAAGCGAGCAAAAGGTGGTCATGGCAAAACACCAATGGGGTTCTGTCTGCTTTGTTTCTGTGAAGGGAAACAGAAATTTTGGTTGGCAAGGGGAAATGCATCCACTCTTTCTAACCACCTTTCCAAAGTACACAAAAACCAAAGTACGAAAGCCAATGATGCTGTGCCCGAAAGTTCACCTCTTGCTGCAGAGGCAATGAAGGAATACAAACGTAGATTTGCATCATCTGCTGCAAGTTCATGTAGGTAGGTGAAACTCAAAACCTAACAGTTCTGTTCTACTTATATTTATCTACAGTATACATGTATTTGTAAAGTTCAAAGTTAAGTTATTGAGTACTCAAGTACATGTATACTCAATAAAATAAGCTTTGGAGACTGGTGTTGTTTGTAAATGCATATGTGATATGTTGTAGCAGGTCAGTTTGGATTTCTTGTAACATTAACAAATTGTGAATCCTCTCATTTGTGCTATAAACTGTTGTACTTGAACTCTTACTGTAGTAGGAATCAAGAGAAGAGAAGTGGTAGTGTGACTAGTGTCCAATCGGAATCACCTCAAACACAAAAGACCACCTGTATGGATTTGGATGTTGATAGTGATTTAACTATGGCGTATGTACTGTATAATATATATAACATCACACTAGAGTTGATCAATTAAACCATATACTGTATATATACATTATGAACTGATCGGCAATAGAAACTAAAATGATAAATTTCAAATTTTGTGCTATAGTGAAGTTATAGAACAGTTTGAGTGTCAACGTGAAGATAAAGTGGTCAGCGTCAGTGATAGCCAGGAAATCCAGGATGATGCACCATTGGAAAAGGATGATGCACCATTGGAACAAAAACGTACCCCGCAAGACAAAGACCAATAATAATGGCGAGCAAACATACTCAACGGTGGGTAAAAATAAAAGGTCTAAAATGATTCCATTTAGTCCAAAGATAACGAAAGAAGTTATTAACTTAGACTCTACCACACCGGAACAATCTTACAATGTTGACACACGCAATCGCTACGAAGTACTCGGTAATGGAGAAGACCAATATAATACCGCAGAACAACAAAGTGAAACAACTCAAACGTCCAGGGAGATGCGACCCAAGACTAGCCGAGAAGTTTCTACTAATGAAGACCAAACCAAAGCGTCATCGGAGACTAGTCCCCGTACTTATAATTCGGGCAACCAACCCAGGCGTACAATCAACGTAGCCGTTGCCGGTGACTCAATGTTAAAGTACATAAATCCCTCCAAACTTAGTAAAAGCTTGAAACAAAATGTCCACGTGAAAACCTTCCCTGGAGCAAAGGTTGCGGATATGGAGCACTACGTAAAGCCAACACTAGCACACGCTCTTCAGTACACCGTGTTCTGCACGTTGGTACAAATGATTTAAGACAAAAATCTCCTCGCCAAATAGCAACATCGATAACTAAGCTCGGACATGAAATCAATGCGAATATGCCAAATACGAAATTAATCTTATCTGAAGTAATAGTTAGAAATGATGACCCTCAGCTCATGATAAAAGTCAAAGAAGTCAATTCAAAATTATCACAGGTATGTCTAAGCAATAGATGGGATTTGCTAACTCATGGAAACATTTTAGTCAAACA